AGGTCTTTTGAATGATGAAATCAAACAAAAATCACTAATGTTGCAAAAGTCTGATAAAATGCTTGAAGAGGAAATAATAAAGAATGAAAAGTTACAAGAAGAATTACCCAAAAATTAGAAATGTTAAGAAAGAATGATCAGAGATTTGAGGATAAAGCAAAAGAAAGGGAAGAACTAAAAATACAACTATATTTGGAAAGAAAGCCCTTGCCTGCTCTACCTAAAGAAGAAAATAATACTTTAACTAAGAAAAACATTTTAAAGCAATTAAAAACAAAGACAAGAGCCAAGGTTCAGCAGTTGCAGAAATTAATCAAAAGAAAGAAGTTTTACAGTCAAGCACTTGTTACTAAAATAGAAGTTCCAGTTAAGTAATCATGAGAGAACTACTCTACACAATCTTATAGTTAGAAGGATGACATAGCAGTAATTCTATTTGTGTTTTTTGCCCTGGTTTGGAAAAAGCATTTTGTCAAATCAGAATGCAAAGCAAAGCAACTGGTGAAATGGTTGAAAGTAATAAGGCTTGCAAGAATTGCAAAGAGAAGTTTGAAAATGATGAGTTGCCTAAATGTAGTTGTGGAAGGCTAAATTCTAGATACACTTGTGATTGTAAAGAAGAGGAAAATGAAAAAGAACTTCTTCTTTTGCCTCATCAAAATGGGAGATGGCACTTTTTATGAAACACAAATAAATGGTTTGAGGGAAGAAAAAAATCAACTAACTGAGAAAGTAGAAACTCATTTAGAAGCTTTGGGATTGGCATAAAAGACAAAAACAAGAGTTATTGGATAGAATTAAACATTTAGAAGAGGAAAATAAGCAACTAAAAGAGTTAACTCCCCAAGAATTAATAAAAAAAATCAATGATTTAAAATTTCAATTAACCCAATTACAACAGCAAAATGGTTAATTAGTTGCTCAAATTGAAGTTGAAGAGACTAAAAGATGATCTTGATTGAAAATAAAAGGTAATTAAAAATTAAGTTGAAAAAAAATAAATTATTTGTTTTATCAAGTTATTCTGCCAGTTTTCATTTTTTTCTTGATTCTTTACTAGAATTCTATAGTACTCTTTTAAAAACTCATTAATTATTTTTATATAGGGGTGATTCTATATATCTATCACCTAATATTAAGAGGATAACAAATGGAAGATTTTAATAATCACATTACTAAATTTTGAACCCTGAAATTCTTGGTAATACCAATGTGTCTGGTTTTGTTGCAGTTTGTTATTATGATAAAGAATTTTATGGAGGTGAACATAATTTAATCATCTTTTTCCAGTTCCAGTCTCAATAAAGTTCTGAAAAGAGTTTGATTCCCATAATTTATTCTTTTGGCTTTTCTCCAATTCTTTTTGTTGACCATTTTTATTCTTTTTTTCAATATTTTGATAACTGATCATCCGTGTAACAAAAATATTAAATTTTTATTATAAAGCCATTTAAGGAAGCGTGATGAGTTAATGATAGTGATAATGATAATGATAATGATAATGATAATGATAATGATAATGATAATGATAATGATAATGATAATGATGGAAAACATTATTTATAAATGAAATGGTGGTAGAGTTGAATTTTCCTTAAAATCATTGAATCATGAAAAAACTCTTGATATTTTCCACAATCAATCTGTTTATTGTCACCACTAAAGCAGCACCACCTATTGATGATGAAGGCTTTCAGGGAGACAACATACTTGATACCTTGTTATCATTATTTTTGCCGTTATTTATTTATCTTTCTTTCTGCAAAGAATTAAAAGCCAGATACTTTGCATTAATTGCGAGGTTTTTTGTAAGATTTTTTGTATACATATATATTACATTCATAGTAATTTACTCTTTTTTGACCCTTGAAAGCAAGGTCGAGAAGACCACTACTTGGACGATAGTGTTTATATGCTATAGTGTTATAAATTTTGTGCTCGTGATGATTTTATTGATTAAAGAAATTAGAACTATACCCGGAACAAAAGCAGACAATGCAGAAATGTGGTCTTTGGAAGAAAATAAGGAAATTAAAGAAAATCAGGTGGGAATTGAAATTAATCAATTAGAAGAAAATGGGGAAATTGAAGCTACTAATCTCGTAAAAAAATCAAAGGAAGATAATAACAATAGGTATAAATTTAAAAAATTTATTTATATTTATTAATATTAATACAGTCAAACCTTGTCACAACGGATAACACGGGACACATTAGAAAAATATTATTATTATAATTACTAATCTCGTCATATATGTATAACGCGAGTTGATTATAATTCACAGCAATAAGATCCGCTGTGACATGGTTTGACTGTATAAATAGATGAGCAAGCAATCGATTTATTAAATGTATATTTTTCATTTAGTAATAACAATATACGACGGATAGATTTGTATTTAATAATTTACATATCTACACCTATCAAAACATGCTTAGCTTTAGCTTTTCTAGGCAAAAATTATGATAAAATCACGACTGAGATGTTATCATGGATCATCGTTCTTTCAATAGTAACATTAATCAGTTCGTTAGGAACAGTTAAGTATGCCCTTGAAATGAAAAGAAAAAATAAAGTGAAAAGAATATTGCAAATGTATAAATACAATGATCAATATGATCACCATGAACAACATAAACGAAACAATTGCGTTTGGATTTTCTCCGGTCTTCTCACTACTTTAATACACTTTACACGTATTCTACTTTATTTAGAAATCGCCTTTTGGTTTGATTTGAACAGCTATTTAAGTAAATTATTATGGAATGCAGTAGCATTAGATACTGCTATATCAATGTTGGACCTTCTGCGAGAAGATGACGATGATACCACCAGAAATAGAAGCAGCAAATTATCATGGGAACGATGAAATAAAAGAAACCGAAATCGACATTGAACAATAGTAATAATAATAATAATAATGAAAAAACTAGTAAATTAGTTTTTTCATATAGACTAAACGTTTAGCCTATAAGACGAAACCAATTTGCTGGTTTCGCCAGCATCCTTATATCTGATATATATTACATTTACATTTAACGAATATTTAGAATTTTAGCATAAATTTTTATTGTATTATTATTAGAATGAAATTTTTTTTTATATACTTGGTGTAGGGCTTCTATTCGAATAAATTTTTAATTCGAATAAAATTAATGATTCGAATAAAACTTGCAACTCGAATAAAATGATGATAATAAAATTAATAATAATAATTCGAATAATCCAATCCAATTAAAAAAAAATTTCTTTATCAATCTATTTTTCCTTGGTCTTGAATATAGTGATGATAATAAATAGTAGTAGCTGACATTTTCCTTAAGTCAAGGTACTAGCAATTATAGTAGTAATATAGATTATAAATATATATTATCTTGTTAAAGAAATAAGACCTATATGAATAAACTAGTAATTTGATTAAAACAGATAAAACGAATAAATTTTTTTAATTCGAATATAACGAATAATAATAGTAATTGAATAACTAACATTCGATAATTTTAGGACAATTAAAAATTCCGAAAATTTTAATTCAAGGTTTGATGTTTTAACAATATTTGTGCTTCTGAAATATATGCATACAATTTTAACTCAACTATAGGACACATAGAATTTAATTATAATTCGTTGAAAAGAGATTCATTGAAACGAGGTTTGACTGTATAAATTTGCTCAGAGAATTAGAACGAGACTCAAAAATCTTTAATTTTAATTCGTTTCGTTCATTTTATTCGTTTTGTTCGTTTTGTTCATCGAACTATTCGTTTTATTCAAATAATTCGAATAAACCTTATTCGAATAGAAACTCTAGTTGAGCAGGCTCGAGTTAAAACTTGAATTTTCAAGTTTGGGCTGAGTTCAAGAAATAGGTTCTTAAATTGTTTTTTAGGTAATTGGTTGCATAAATAAAATATTATGAAATAATAGAATTAATCTAAAAAAATTATGCAGCATCAATTATTTCTTGGCTCGAGCTTGGCTTGTTCATAGTTTGCTTCAACTAAAATAGTAAAGAAGAGTACTGTAAATATGTATTGCCTCATTGTCAGCATGATACGTAGGTGAATTGATTTGAAATTATGGAATAATTCGCGTCAACAAAAAAAAAATTTCTACAACACCAAGTGCCAATAATAATATATAACGTGATTATTTTTATTTTTTTATTTTTTAATGCGATTCTTTTAAAAATGCTACGAAAAGAAACAAGAACAAAACAAAATACATTCGAAGAGATCGCCGAGCAAATGTTTATCATAAGAATAGTGCTGGTGGTCCCTTGATAATCAACATCACCATTATCATCATTATCAGTTAATTCCATATATGCATTTCTAACATCTCTGACATCACGGTTGGCTTGCTTTTTTTAGTATTAAAAAATAAGTTTATTTCTTTTTTTTATTGAAAACTAGGTGACGACGAATGGCGATGATGATATTATCATGTTCAACTAAACAGCAAAGCAAATCATATCTTGGATTTTTACAAAAAACAATTATCAATTTGGCATCTTTATCATCTTCTAACTGGAAAGCTCCCGATGATCTATGGTCTAATCAATATTTAACAGAGGCGAAAAAGTTAGACAAAAGTAATTACGAAGATTTAGAAAATAAGGTGTTTTTTTTTTATTTTGCAAAAAAGAAGTAAGCAATTCCTATTCATGTCACTACATGGATTACCTTTTTCACAATAGGTTAAGTCTGAACGTACTAATTTAAAATCTTATTGGGAAGGAATTCTCAGGGAAAGAGTATTAGTGCGTAAGCTTATATTATTTAGAGCTAAATTTTAAATTCATTAACATTTTAATATCATCTTAAGATACAAAAAATTTCAGGATACAAAATCGAAAAAAACATTTCAAACGCATGATTGTTAATGAACACATTCGAAATGTTTAAATAACTCAAATCACAAACCAAAACCATACATACATTAATAAAACATGCAATTGACGCATTATATTCAATTAATTTCAAATATTAATAATCAAATACGAACAAAGAGTACAGATCTTGCAAAACTTGTAAATAAATGGCATTATGATTACACAGATGATAATACAATGATAGATGAATCCCAATTAGATGATTATAATCCAGATGAGGAATGAAGAGTCACGCGCAGAAGGGAAAAATCTAAAACTACAAATGATATGTTGAAAAATCAAGGTAACAATAATGATAACATTTATCTTGAAATTCAAGATGATGTTAGCTACTCATCAGATAATCAAGATAAAATTTCAGTTTATACTTGGCTTTTAATATTTCTAAATTAAATTAATTGTATTTATTTACATTATAGATTCATCAACCTGAAAACTTTGATAATATTTTGGTTCAAATGAGGATAATTCTGAAATATAAGCACCAGTCCTCCCTGAAAGCTCTCGACCTCTATCTAGAAAAAGAAGAGAGAGAGAGAAGTATACCATCACGAGAAATTAATCACCGTAATCTAAAACGAGTAAATTATTATGTCAGACCTTCAAGAAAAATATATAAAAAGAAATCTGTAAGCTATAAACTCACATATTAGCAATAGAGTGTATAATAAAATTTTTAGACTAGAACAGTTGAAAGAAAAGGTTAGCTTAAATATTGGTTATTCTATGCCAGGTCAGAAGTGTTTTATTATTTTTTTTCTGTCCACCCCACCATACATGTCTCACAAACCATATAACGGCAATAACTAGCAAGATAAGTAAAGAATATGCAATTAATGGTGACATCATAGTACTCTCACAGAGTGAGGTTGCTACTGCGTCTGCCACAGGAATTGCCCCTATTCCTCCCATTGAAATCTGAGGATGCATTTCAACTGGGGAAGAAATAGTAGATGAGTTGGAGATTTGAGACTTTGTCTCTTCTTGTTTTTCAAGATACAGAGTCACGTTTTCAACTTCCTGTATATGGTTATAGGATTTTTCCTCTAAAGATATGGGAATAATTTGGGTATCAATGTTTTCAGGTGGCTCCATGTTTTTTTTACGCAAAAATTTACTAAGATTTATTATAGGTTTATTAGCTGCAGAGATATCAGTGGAATTCGGTATATTTTTTTCATCTGTCTCACTGCCAATCTTGACTGATTCTAACAACAACTTTGATTCTAAAGAGTGTATCTCTGAAGTTTTCAAGGCCAAATAATTTCTTTAATAAAATCTGATTTAATTCATGAAGGTTTACCAGTATCCTGTTCTAAAGATAAAAAACCTTAGGAATGGTGTATAGTATTAAAAGACTGATTTTTGGTTTTTCAAAATTTTCTTACCCGCAAGATTAATAAGGCATGCACAAATTCTTCAACTTTATCCACAGATTCGTTATGTAAAGGAATCTTGGCTTTTATGATAGGGAGGTAAAACTTTATACCTTTTTCTTGTAACAATCTGTATACATCAACACAGTGGTCATCTAATTATCAAAACACAATTAGACAATAGAATGTTATCTACATTATTGAATGAAATATGTTTTTTTACCTGTAATATTTATACCAAATACAATGCAGAATTTATACAGCTTATCCTTTTTGGTCTTTTTTGACAAATCAGCATACCCGTCTGAGGTGAAACAAGCCAACTTATTATGATCATTATGGGTTTTTGTGTCTGTTGATTTCCATTTTCCGCTTTTGACGTATGCGATTTTGTTCCACTTTTGTTTGAAAAATGCTTGGACCATTAAGTCTGGCTTGTTACCTCTTGAACCAGATACTTGTTGATTTTTATGTTTTTTGCTGGCATCACTTTGACAATCATTTCTTGTTACTTCGATATCCAAGCCAATCAGCATTTGATATATAGATGCCTCCCATAAGTAGGGCTTTTATTCATGAATATCATGAATATCATTAAGGGGTTACACACTATTAAAACAGCAAAAAATCCCTTAAAAAGATGAGTTGATCACTTGATTTTAATAGTGTGTGACC